TTAATATCACTGATTGCGACAAGCTGAACACACTTATCCCTGTTTTCGTTAAAAATGATTTTGACTTGAAGAGCAAGGCTCAGTACGATGCCTATATCGTGTATCAGACACTGCTTGACATGTCGTCAAACTAGGTACTATCTTTCACTGATTTAGTTCTGAATTCTAAGTGAGTAAAGCACAACAAAATTTAATGTCACAGATATCATAAGCTTTGAATATTACACTATAACAACGCCGTCAGAACTTGATATCGGAACCAAAGGAAGTTTGTACCTGTAGACAATATTCTACACTTTCAGCAACTGTATAGGACGTTGTTTACATAAGTCTACTATGAAACACACTGACAATCCTTAATCACGTCGGACAGTTTGTTTACGAGGATCTGCTTTTTGTCTCTCAGTTTTACAGGGATCTCAAAATGACTACAGATGGCTTGCAACAAAACTACATTGAATTTCTGAAGTGTGTTACTGTGGTAACGTTCACAGAGGTCATACGTGTCATAGCAGATTCGATGCGAGACTTTGATCTCTTTGTTAACTTTGTCTACCAGATCTTGTCTCTCGGAATTCTCCTAGACGCATTGGACATCTTGCTCGTCCAGCGATATCCTGATCACACCCTGATCTTTGCGTCGCACTGCTGCAAGCCGGGAGAAAAAGCTCTGAACTTGGCTTTTTGTCAGCCACTGTTCTCTAGTGAACACACGTGCATTTGATTCATTTTTCACATTTCACACGTCCACTGCAACTTGGGCGGGGTCTGCCTTTCTCCCAATTCTTTCTCCAAGTGTAAACAATGCCGTTAGGTATTCTTTTACATTCTCTAAAAATCTAACACTGCCCTTTGGTTTGCTTACGGCCCATTCTGTTAGTAGAGGCGAGAGGGGCGAAGTATCCCCAGGAGAAGTGAGTGGTATACTGGAATCCGACGAACAGCTCGAACACTCGATACCAGCGGTATCTATTGACGAGAACTTAAGGGCCCAGCCCCTTTTGATTGCATCATACTGGCTTAACCTGCTGACTGTATACTTTCGAACGTCAAGGTGGAGCTCTAGTTGCGAAAACGTTTTGAACACTTCAACACACCCAAGCACAGAGCATTCAAACAATGGCGTTGTACTCTCTGTTTCCTTGCCGTCCTTTAAACGACGCTTGACCATGCGCTTTTCAGGAGGATCATAAAATCCTTGAGATTCTATGGTTTGAAGGGACGTTTCACCTTGTTGCTTGATATAAATCACGTCATATGGGATATACTTCCCTTTACCGATGCCATAACATTTCCAAATTCTCAGACCGGTATCTCCATATTCGAAGTTGTGGAAGCTACTGAAATGCTCAATCTTATTTATTCAGAGAGTGTTCTTTGATTCGTCGACTATGCTAACTGCAGCGGTTGTTCCCTTCACTGGGTGTTGCGTCAATGCATCTCTCATGTCAACGGCAGTTAGAACATCGTGCCCTTCGTTGTAGTAAGTGCGAATAGAGGACTTCATTGGGCAGAGGATACGATTGCAAATGTCTTTACCATACTGCGGCTCAGAGTAGTGATAACTATGAACTTCAAGCCCAACTCCTTTTGTGACATCTCTCACAGTGGTTACTAGGGAGCTGTTATGATAGCAACTGGCTTCATCTGACCTCAGATGAACTTTCTGCAGCAAAGGATTCTTGACTTTCAGCTGCTTTAGAAGATCTTCGAGAATTGACGTAACTGCATACCAGTCCTGAGTACACTGATAAAAGAGGTGAGTGTACGAGATGACTTCCGTCGTGTTAGACTAGCTTTGAGACACAAGGCTGCTAATGTGCCAACTTAACCCTCTTTTTTTGTACCAGTCACTTTGCTTCTCTCTATAGTGCAGCTGCAGAAACTTCATGGCCCAATCTATAACAAGAAGACACGAAGTCTGGTCAAGCTTTGCGATGATATCTTGCTTTTACAGACCTCATAATGTGAGCTTTCCACTGAACGATAGCCTCTGAAGATATCTGGATATCGTACAACAAGTCATTTTTTTGGTCCTCGCTGTAAAAAACTAAGGTTTTGTTATCCTTAACAATCTGTTGCATCTTCTGCAAAACGGAAGTAATTTCGTCGCATTGAGAGCAGAGAAGCATGTGTTGATGTGAGCATTGTTCCTGGAAATCTGGATCGTTTGGATGGCTGAGACCAAACTTAGGACAGTGGTTGGGACATTCGCTCTCATCTTCCTGGCAGTGACTCTGAAACTGGGTTTTGAGGTACCTCTTACCCTCGCTGAGGGCTCTTCGCAGTTCGTCTGCCACGTTCTTTGCAAGCCCAATCTGATCAAGCTCGTCCACTATTCGGAGGAGTTGCGCACGAACCCCGCCGACCCATCAGCTGCTGTGTTATCCAAGCCGCTAAGGGACTTCTGTTGAGAGGCTTCCCTTACCTCGAGGATGCGAAATAGGGTTGAACGGCTCAGTGGTTCAAACTGCTCTTCTTCGCAGAACTGAAGGTACTGCTTGACCATTGTTGACCTTGTGACTTTGCGAATGACATTTGGCATTGTGATCTTCTCGCCACTGCTGAGCCTCAGTTTCCTCGTACTAAATGACACGTCTTGATAAAAGTAGGGGCGGTTCGCGAAGTCTAAGAAATGGTCAAGCTTTATTGGTGGCAGTCGAACTCGATGACATGGGGACTTTTCGACCAAATAACCTGGACCACATTCTCTTGCATGAGCTCTAGCGCGTCTAATTTGCCACTCGGTTAACTTTGCGTATGGCTCGTGGATTTTCTGAAGCGTCTTCACTGGATATCGATACGCATACAGGCTAAGAATTTGGGTCTTCAAGGTACTCGTCATGGC